CCGCCCCCCAAGTCAGGCCCCGCCCCCCGAAGTCAGGCCCCGCCCCCCGAAGTCAGGTCCCGCCCTGTCCCGCCCCAGCCACGCCACGCCCCCAGAAGCCACGCCCCCAGCAGCGTCCCCGGGCAAAACGAGTGTACCCGGACCTGGGCTAGTGCGTCACCGACTGTCGGAGTCCCGGTTCCTGCAGGACTAGTGCGCCCCGTGGGCATCTCCTCTCCTTCCAACCCCACTCTCCCTGGGAGTCGCCGAGAGGACCGTGGGGTTACGGCGGTTTCTGCTTGTGTGAGTGGCTCCTACTCCGCGGCAGAGAAGTTGTAGCACCCCTAGACTTAGCACCTGAGCCTTGGCTACGGGGATGCCCCCCTCTCCAGGATGGAGAGCTCCTGACAAGGAGGAAGGCGAAACGGACGCCTGGCGCTGGGCATTTGATATGACAATCAGGACGACCCCAAGAAGGGGTGTTGTCACTGACACCGTGCAGATTGGGCAACTGAGGCCCGTGGAAGGTTAGATAACTGCCACGGAGTGTGGTAATCAAGATTCTCTTGATGGACCAGCTCAGACTCCTTCACCAGCAGCAAAGGCACCCCTATGACGCAGAGGAAGGAATCCAGACAGGCCGGTGGCACCCCAGGAAAGTCTGGAACAAGGACTGAACGGTTTCGGGGCTCTTGGTCTCCATCTTCTTTCTCTGTCTACAGCACATAGCAAATGACCTTCCATGGACCTGGCACTAACTATCTAATTTCCTGCCTTGGTCCCATTTACAAATTTTATGGAGAATTTGTCAGACACCGGTCCTCTGTCTACCCTGAATTCTATCAGCAGTGGCAAGTGGGGTGGCTTCTGGGCAAATACGTCTTATTTTCCTGGGATGTAGAGAAGGGGTAAGTTCTGAGAAAGGGAACATGAGAAATTGGGAGGGCACAGCAGAACTGCTGGCCATATGAAAGCATGCCAACACAATAGAAAGAATTTGTACTGTCTTACTCAGGTCCGATGCTGTCTCCACTAGCTGTACTCTTCACATTTTAGTCACTTATTTAAATTTAATTAATTTTTTTGTAGAGACTAAGTCTCGCTATGTTGCCTAGGCTAGTCTCAAGCTCCCGGGATCAAACAATCCTCTCGCCTCTCCCAAAGTGCTAAAATTACAGGTGTGAACCACTGCACTCAGCCAGTATTCTTCACATTTTAAAAACAGGAACCTTCCCCACAAGCAGCCCTGTTGACCATCAAAATAGTGACTCTGCAAATTGGAAAAGGACCGCCTTCCTCAAAACATTTTACTGCTGGAAAATTTTCATCATAGCCAAACATATATTTTGACTTTGATGTGAAGGAGCACCTGGAGTTGTGTAGAGCAAAATCTGTACAACATCAGCATGAGCCTAATAGAGAAAGCAGACAATCCTGTTGCTGCTCTGGGTAAAGTAGGTAAAGGCCCCAGAGTCTGATTCAGCCTTTGTTTGTCAGGCTGCCCCCCGCCCCCATATGTTCTTCGGAGGAATCCCAGGGTGCAAGGAACACAGTATGGGAAAACATGGCACCCCCAATCTGGTCTCTGCCAGACTGAGTCTAAGTAGCATTTGATACCCTCATGAGGAAGATTGGCTGGTGGTGTCCTGCGGTATCCTGAAGTGTGCTGGCCTGGCAACTGCAAAAGAAGAGAGTAAGCCTTTGGGATTCACTGCAGTAGGCTGTGACCTGGTAAGATGGTTAAGGAGCAATCCTTGGTGAGGGACAGCTGAGCCCTGAGCTCAAGGTGGAAAGGGAGAAAGACAAGTGCCTCTGAGGATGCTCTTCCAAGGATTCACACTGCTTACTTACCTCCCTCTAGTGGCATTTTAAATTCCAGAATGTACAATACCTTTCAGCATTACTGGGTCTCAGGTCCCCTGAATTTTCTGTCGCTGATCCCGTGTGACAACAACATGGCTTTGAGCCACCTCCCATCCTATATTGGTTAGATAGGACTCAACCAATTTAACAAACATCCCCTGACAGATTGAGGACGGCCTATAGGAGGGTGTCCAGTTAGTTGTCTTAGTCTGCATTTTAAACGGCCGTTAGAATTAAGGCATAGAAAGCATGTTGGTCACATTTATGAAGGATACAAAGTAGAAAGAGAGGCCCGCGGATGAATGATCTATGGAAAGGTAGAGTCAAGACCTGTGAGTGCATGCCCTGACAGCGGAGGGGTCTATGAAGATAGACTGCATCGACAAATATATTCATACGAACTTTTTAAATTACCCTTATGTTTTAAAAATGGTACAAGATAAGAGAGGCTTGACTTAATGGCAGTTCTTTGATGGTTTCATAGGTTTCATTTGACATAAAGTATCACTTGAGTTCATTGTGTGACATATCCACCCACATGGTTAGCTTAGATGGCATCAGTAAAGTCTCAGTGCCCAGAACAAGGGTGGAGAAGAGTCCACTCTGCTCCATGTGGGCCAGTTTAAACTCTACATATCTTCCTTCATCCTGAACACAAACTCCTCAGGAAAAAAAGAGATAAATTCAAGTTTTGAGCTGGAGGAGAGTAGCTAGAATAGTACAGGAACATGAATAATGACTGCAAAACTCACAATAGCCAGAAAAAGAAAAAAAATAGGGAAGAATATGACAATGACCTTCTTAAAGATTTTGATACAAAGGCCTGGTCCGTAAAGATGTATGCATTATTAACTCCAGAATGTAGAAGAGGAGCCTGTAGCCTGTTACAGAACTGTACACTTGGCCCTAACATAGAAAAGAATTATTTTAAAATTAGAGTGATCCAAATATGGAATGAGCTCTGTGTGTCTGTGTGAGCTCATGAGCTCCCTGTCACTGGAAGAATCCAGCAGTGGCTGGACAGTGGATAATCTGATATCAGGGATGTTATAAAGGGAATTTTCAGTTTAGACTAACTTGTGGTGCTTCCCAACACTGAGATTTGATTTCTGGGGCATTCATTCATCATTGCCTTTCATCGCTTTTCTGCTTTCTTCTCTTTCCCCCTATTCCTTTATTTCTTCACCCTCTGAGGTCAGTTTGGGGGAGAAAGTAGAAGTGCACCCCAGTGCTTCAGATGCAGGGACAGTGGGGTCTGCTCTGCCACACATCCATCAGATGGGGACATGATGCTCCTCCCTTCCCGGACCTGAGCCTGGACGGACACCAAAGTCCAGCCCATCAGAACAGCACTCCAAGGAAGCTGTTGTCATATCATTGTATCTTATGTTCTCTTTTCAGGAAAAGTCCTGGTCAGCAGTGAAATGGGCATCAGTCGGTCAGCAGTGCTGGTGGTGGCCTACCTGATGATCTTCCACAGCATGGCCATTCTGGAGGCCTTGATGACCGTGCGTAAGAAGCGGGCCATCTACCCCAACGATGGCTTCCTGAAGCAACTGCGGGAGCTCAACGAGAAGCTGATGGAGGAGAGAGAAGAGGACTATGAAGGGGACGGGGGAGCAGACGAGATTGAGGAGGGTGAGGACACAGGGAGCACGCTTGGGGCCAGAGTGCATGCCCTGACAGTGGAGGAGGAGGACGACGTCACCAGCCACCTGAGTGGCTCCTCCTTGGGGAAGGCCAGCGGGGCCTCCAAGCCCCTCACCCTCATTGATGAAGAGGAGGAGGAGAAGCTCTATGAGGAGTGGAAGAAGGGGCAGGGCCTCCCCCCAGGCAAGGGCCCCCAGGCTGGAGGTGGCCAGCGCTCAGCCTCCTTGGGCCAGGGGGAGGAGGAGCCTGAGGATGAGGATGTGGAGAGGCTCATCCGGGAGTGGCAGAGCCGAAACGAGAGGTACCAAGCATCAGGGCACCGGAGGTGGGGTAGGGAGGAGGAGGAGGAGAGCCAGGCTGGCTCCTTCTTGGGCAGGAGACGCAGGCACACCCTGAGCGAGAGCAGCACTTCGGAGAGCATGAGTAGCCACGACATTCGGGTCCTGAAGGAGCAGCTGGAGGTGAGCCGCAAGAGCCAGGCAGGGAGGCGCCGCTCTGACTCCGTGTCCTCAGACAGTACCTGGGACATGTGGAACGAGAGGCTGCTAGAGATCGAGAAGGAAGCTTCCCGGAGGTATCACGCCAGGAGCAGGAGAGAGGAGACACACGCCGGCTCCGAGGCGGGCAACGGGCCAGAGGATGACCGGCAGAGCGTGTGCTCCGAGGCCAGCTCCTTCTACAATTTCTGCAGCAGGAACAAGGACAAGCTCACTGCCCTGGAGAGGTGGAAGGTCAAGAGGATCCAGTTTGGGTTTCACAAGAAAGACTCCGATGCAGGAGAGAGCAGCAGTGAGCACGGGGCAGAGGATGGAGCGGGGGAGAAGCAGCCTTCTGACGTCAGCCTCTCGGCCTACCAGGCCTGGAAGCTGAAGCACCAGAAGAAGGTGGGCAGTGAGAACAAGGAGGAGCTGGTGGAGCTCAGCAAGGGGGAGGACTTGACCCTGGCCAAGAAGAGGCAGCGGAGGCTGGAGCTGCTGGAGCGAAGCCGGCAGACACTAGAGGAGAGCCAGTCTATGGCGGGCTGGGAGGCAGACAGCTCGGTCACCAGCGGGAGCATCCCCCTGTCTGCATTCTGGTCCGCAACCCCCTCTGTCAGTGCTGATGGGGACTCAGCATCAGTACTCAGCACCCAGAGCCACCGCACCCACCTGTCCCAGGCCACAAGCAGCCCAGGGGGATGCTCAGCTTCCCATCCCACCACCCCCCTGCCCAACCTGCCGGTGGGGCCCGGAGACACCATCTCTATTGCCAGCATCCAGAACTGGATTGCCAACGTGGTCAGCGAGACCTTGGCTCAGAAGCAGAACGAAATGCTGCTGTTGTCTCGCTCACCATCCGTCTCAAGCATGAGGGCAGCACCAGCGGCCAGCTGCCTGGGAGATGACCAAGTCTCCATGCTTAGTGGGCAGAGCAGCTCCTCCCTGGGCAGCTGCCTGCTGCCTCAGGGCCAGGTCAGACCCAGCTCCGACTCACAGTCTGTGCTGTCCTCCAGCACCACCCTGAGCTCAAAGGCAAGGGGGACCAGCAAGCCCATCTACAGCCTCTTTGCTGACAACGTGGACCTAAGGGAACTTGGCCGGAAGGAGAGAGAGATGCAGACAGAGCTGAGGGAAAAGATGTCTGAGTACCAGATAGAGAAGCTGGTCTCAGACAACAAACGCAGCACCCTTTTCAAGAAGAAGAAGGTCAGAGAAGATGAGGATGATGGTCCAGGTGACAGGGATGAGGACACTGACAGTGCCATAGGGAGCTTCCCATATTCTTCCCGCAGTAATTCCCAAAAACCTGAAACAGACACGTCATCCTCCCTGGCTGTCTCTGATCACTATGGAAGTGGCAGCAGGGTTGGCAAAGAGATGAATGGCAGTATTAATAAGTGGCTCGGTGGCTTCGGGACAGAGGAGAAATCTCTTCCCCAAAGCGATTGGTCTGGAAGCTCCAGAGGGAAGTACACCAGGTCTTCCCTGCTCCGGGAGGCGGAGTCTAAGTCCTCTAGCTACAAGTTCTCCAAGTCCCAGTCAGAGGAGCAGGACACTGCCTCCTACCATGAGGCCAATGGCAACTCTGTAAGAAGTTCTTCAAGGTTCTCTTCTTCCTCCACCAGGGAAGGCAGAGAGATGCACAAGTTCTCCAGGTCCACGTACAGTGAGACCTCGAGCTCCCGGGAAGAGAGCCCAGAGCCCTACTTCTTCCGCCGGACTCCCGAGCCCTCCGAAGGAGAAGAGTCCCCAGAGCCACCGCGCCCAAATTGGACTAGGCCCAGGGACTGGGAAGATGTGGAAGAGTCCTCCAAGTCAGACTTCTCTGAATTTGGAGCCAAGAGGAAATTCACCCAGAGCTTCATGAAGTCTGAAGAAGAGGGAGAGAAAGAGAGGACAGAAAACAGGGAAGAAGGAAGATTTGCATCTGGGCGGCGGTCCCAATATCGGAGAAGCACTGACAGGGAGGAAGAGGAAGAGATGGATGATGAAGCCATCATTGCTGCTTGGAGACGCCGGCAAGAGGAAACCAGGACCAAGCTGCAGAGGAGGAGGGAGGACTAAGCCAAGGACACCGGAGGAAACCATTTGGCTTAGCACAGGGCTCAGGGCACACAGCGCCACCACCCGTCACGGAATAAGGGTGCAGAGAGGATCTTCCAGAGGGACAGAGCCAAAAGGAGAGGTACCAAGCATAAGGGCACCCATGTGGAGTGGGGAGGAGGAAGGAGGAGAGTCTCCATGTGAGGTCCACCTAGACCAAGTGACACCATTTTCCATTGCTTGGTGCCCTCTAAACTTTGGTGTTTCCCCGAGTGTATTTGACAGTGTTAATCACAGACTAGAGAGGTGAGCTTGAAATGTACTGAAGTTTGTCAGAGACTCCAGTTTACATCCAGAAAGGCTATGAATATAAGACACGGTTCTGTTTGAGGAGGTTTTATAATGAGACCCAGGAAATCTATGCTGTGGCAAGCCTGACCTCTCCTGGAAATGCTCAGTTCTGATTATTGTTGTTTTTTAATGTTTTTGACCTTCATTAAACTGCTATCTCATCAGACTTTTCTCCTTCATTCTGGTCACTTGCAGCTCTTTGGATGCTAGGTGAAACCCACATTAAAAGACAAATGAACCGGGTTTGGTGGCTCTCGCCTGCAATCCCAACGCTTTGAGAGGCGAGAGAATTGCCTGAGCCCAGGGGTTCGAGACCAGCCTGGGCAAACTGGTGAGACATTATCTCTACAATAAATTTAAAAATTAGCTGGACATGGTGGCACGCTCCTGTAGTTACAGCTACTTGGAAGGCTGAGGCAGAAGGATAGCCTGAGCCCAGCAGGTTGAGGCTGTGGTGGCTGTGCTGTACTCTAGTCTGGGCGACAGAGGGAGACTCTGACTCAAAAAAAAAAAAAGAGAGAGAGAGAGAGACACACAAATTGGTTATTGTGAGCCAACCTCACCCTGTTCCACAAAAACTATACCTCTAGTCAATACCATCCTCATCTCATTATGAAAGGTAATAAGCAAATGCTTAGCCTGTGATACAATGCAGCAGGAGCCTCTGCTAGGAAAACCCTTGAGGGTAGCAAAGGGAACTAAAGAAAGAGAGAATGAGTTTCATTATAGTGAGAGTGACAAGATGACAAGTTCTCTGGAGAGGAAAAAAAATAGGCAGAGAGAGAGAGAGAGACAGAGACAGAGACAGAGACTGACCCAATACAAGGAGATGGGATGTATTTTTAGAAAATCTTGTGGTCATCCTTTCTTCTTACTTCTTGGAGGATCATTGGATGATGCAGTGGATCATGCACTTGGTTCCTCCCTGCACTCTAGATGGACCAGGTTGGTGAGAATTCTTTTCCTTTTGTTTCCAGGGCTGTGTTTCCTAAAACACAGGTTGGGATGCTGAAGCAAGGGGACACATCTTGAGCACCTTGCAGCAATCATTGGTGGCCTGGCTTCTACAGTTCCTTTCAAGCTGCAGCACTTGCAAGATTTGAAAGCAGGCATGTGTAATGCAGGGGTCCAAGATGTCTTGATCAACCAAAAAATCCAATTCAGGAGGCACAGCCGGGGATGACATGGTCAAGAGGGCAGAAAGAGGAATAAGGAGGAGTCCACCAATGAGACCAATAGGAAGTGTTAATCATGTATGTGATCACTTTTTCTAAAAACTGAGTTTCATGGGCCATGAAGATTATATAACTTTCCTATGCAGATTAGTTCAGCATCACCCATTTCAAAGAGCACAAAGATAGATATAACAAGGCAAAGGAGAGCTGGCTTGAGCACACCCAGAAGTACACAGAGCTACTATTAATGGAATTAATTTGCTTGCCTTCCTTCTATCACTTTAGCATGCAGTTCAGTTGCTGATTGTACTCATCTCTCCTCCACTCACTGTGGGAGAAAGAGGACTGGAAAAAAAATACTTCTCAGTCTTCTCAGTCTTTGTCCTATTTGCCCCTTTCCCTCTTCCTTTGTTCATCTTTAATCAGTCTCAGTCCCTAGTTTCCAATGCTTGATGGGTCATTAGCACCATAGAAAGTAGCATTTTCAGCCAGTGTCTCACGCCTGTAGTCCCAGCTACTCTGGAGGCTGAGGCAGGAGGATCACTTGAGCCCAGGAGTTCAAGTCCAGCCTGGGCAACATAACAAGACCCCGTCTCTTAAAATAAATAAACAAACAAGTAAATGGTATTCACCTAATATGCCCCACAGGCTGGTTGTGACCCAGTCTACCTTCTGGGAGAGCTCAAGGTATCCTGTCTTACCTCACTCCTATAGGGAAGTTTCATGATCAATTGGGCATCTACTCTAGAAGGTCAATCTTCTGGAGGGTAGATGAGAATCTCCTTGGATGAAACCTCTATCCATCCATAAAGGGTCAGTTAACTCAGATCTCTATACATGACACTTGTTAAGTTTTGTTTTCTTTTTCTGTAGCTAACAAAAAATATAAATTGATCTCACACATGTCAAGATGGACAAGAAATTGTAAAAAAAACACTCTTAATCAACTCCAATTCATACCCCACTAAATGAATGATGAACAAACATTTAAAGCATGTTTGTTTGAAGAGTCATCCCTGTCTTTCTTCAGCCCTAACTATGATCCTGGGAGAACAGACCAAGGAGTCCACTTGGTCCACACTTAGTTGAGTTCTAAGGCTAGAGGGCCAGTAATGGCTCCCATGGCCCCCACGGAGATGAGCGCAGCTCACTGGAGGAGGAAACCACATGAGGTCAGGTTCAAGTCCTAGAGAAATGCCCTTGTTTTTGGTGTTTACAAGGATAGTTGCCTTGGAGCCTGTACTCAGAAGGTATCTGCCTCAGCTTATTCCTGGAGTCCAGAGTATATTTTGGGAAACCAGATCAACAGAAATTATATTTGATTTATGATGAACTTGGAGAAAAACCTGGGATCTGAAGTGTTAGAATCCCAAGTGTGACTCCTGCCTTATAACTAACGTAGCATGATAGATTGCAATTCAGTCTTCTAGTCCCTGAAGGGCAATTAATGATCTGTGTCAGTTAAAGTCCCCATAGGAAACAGATAGCACACCCAAAGTGGTGACTGATGAGCATTTAATGTAGGACTGTTTACAGAGGCATGGACATGGTTAAGGGGGCCAGGAGGGAATAGTAAATCCCTCACGTATTAGCAACATTGACACCACCCTAGGACTGAAGGGATAAAGTGAGTAAGCTATGTCCAGAGCCCAGCAAGAGCCATGACCATGGAGGGGACCATCTGACACCTGAGCCCTCTCTCCTAGCTTTGTACTTCATACCAGTAACTTTCATTGGCCAAATCTAACTGGAAGTCAGTGGGTAGGAGAGCCTAGCAGTCTGGAAAAGAACAAAAATGTGTCTGGAGAGACCAACAGAGAATGACAAGCACAAAGGCGAATATGTTTAAGTGGAAAGGCCATTTCCACAGAGGCTTTCCAATGGTGTTGTCTGTCTTAAATGACTGAAAACAAGATAATCTGTCCACAAAACTGATTACTTTTAAGAATTAATTAACAACTGAAATAGAGTTTCCAATCTATAAAACCAACTGTTGGAGTCAGAGGCTTTACAGAAAAGAAACAGAAGGCCGGGTGCAGTAGCTCGCACCTGTAATCCCAACACTTTGAGAGACCAAGGCGGGTGAATTGCTTGAGCCCTGGAGTTCCAGTCTAGCCAGAGCACATAGCTAAATCTCCTCTCTACAAAAAAAACACGAAACAAAACAAAACAAAAACCAGCTGGGTACCGTGGCAAATGCCTGTACACCCGGTTACTTGGGATGCTGAGGTGGATGGATCCTGAGCCCAGGAGGCTGAGGCTGCTATGAACTGTGATCATCATGATCATGCTGCTGTACTCCAGCCTGGGGGCAGAAGGAGAGAGAACAGCCCTATTACAAAGTGGGCAGAAAAATACGAATAGGCACTTCTCAAAAGAAGACATGCAGGCAGCCAACAGATACATGAAACAATGCTCAGTCTCACTAGTCATCAAAGAAATGCAAATTAAAACCACACTGAGATACCACCTAACTCCAGTCACGATGGCCATCGTTAATAACTCAAAAAACAACAGATGCTGGAGAGGATGCGGGGAAAAGGGAACACTTCTGCACTGTTAGTGGGAGTGTAAACTAGTACAACCTCTGTGGAAAACAGTTTGGCAATTCCTAAAAGTTCTAAAAATTGACCTTCCATA